TAACTTAGAACATGAGCAATAATTCTTGAAGATAATCAAGGCGAAAGAAAGAAAATAACATTCGTGTTTCCAATCCTAATCTTCGCAATTCTCTAGAAAATGAGTTTGAGACGGAAATTTGATTACTCTGCATTGCGTCTTTACACCCATCAATAAAGACAATGTTTTGCATTACTACAAACACCCTTTTTACTCAGTCAAAGCAAATAAAAAGTTTTCCTCTTTTTTAAAGAAATAAAAGAGTTATACAACTAGTTTAACTTAAAGACAAGCACTGCAATTAAGTAAGAACTGCAGAGGAAAGTTACGAAATTTAATACCAACTGTGATGGCTGTAAAAAGACGGTCGTTTCGCCCACAGGTTAGGTCAGGTCACCAACTGCTTTTGCCTGACCACTGGCTGAAAGAGCGAGGTATATACATGTGTATTGCATTTTTTCGCATCATGGCTAAAACAACTAGGTCTATAAATGTGCAGCGCTCGTTTTCGTTTTATCAGCGGAACGACTTAAGTCGTAATCGAACGGGAAGTTAGCGAAACGACTCGTAGGCGAAACGACCGCTCATCGTAAACAGTGCCCTGTATCCTCAAGGATCAGATCAGGGAAAATAAAGCAAGATTTATTCGTCTTTCATAAGATAAAAGGTTCTAATCTTTTCGAAGGGACCTGTCACAACAAAATCTATTGTAAAATTCATTAATTTTTTATTTATAGTAATTAATATCCCTTTGAGACCTAAAAGTGACCAACTTCAACTTTCTCCTAACAAGTTCAATACATTATGACGAGAAAAGGTTATCAGAATTTATAAAATGATGGGAAAACTTTCTGATCTTTTATCAAATTCTCTCTACTAATTCTTTAAGGAAATGTATGGAGATCAGTCAGGAGAATTTGTGTGTGGATAACGGAGCCTAAAGGGTTGAATAGTAGAATTAACTTTTTTTGATACAAACTAATACTAAGCTAACAGACCTTGTCACGGTTTTGGAAGCCATCTTGACGAGTAGGCAACCGTGTGAGAAATTACAGTGTTTGTATGAGAATCTAGTGTTGAATAATTTCCGTAAAACGCCTGTTCTGAACAAAAATATGAATTGTAAACTAAAGCTTCACTTCTAACGATTCTACTGAAAAATTTGAGGGCGTTACATGCAGCTACATGCGCTAGAACCACTTTGTAAAATTTTCTATACATTTGCCTGTAAAAATTTTTTTTCCTGCCAACTAAAATTTCCCAGGAAAAATTGCAGACATATACCTGGTATATGGAAAATCTGAAGCAAGCGTCTGGAGAAATTTAACCCCAGTTACGGCCTCCAAAATTTGTTGGTAAAATCCTTTGCTGTGTAGCTTTAGTTTACAGTTCATATTTTTTTCAGAACAGCCGTTTTACCGAAATTATTCCACATTAGATTCTCATACAAACACTGTCACTTCTCAAGCGGTTGCCTACTCGTCAAGATGGCTCGTCAATGATAGTTTCATTTGATGTCGATATATAAGGCACAAAATCTTGATGAAACTCAAAGAAAGAGTTTATGCAAAATTTTCAGTTCTAAGCCACCTTTCTTTACCACAGTATGGCAGTGATGTCTTTTGTCTTATCTTCCTTCATGATAATAATTTATTATCAGGAATGAGTTTGAGAGATGAAAACTCAAAACTTATCTGGACAACTTTGCTAAAGCCTACTTTTCACTAATGATAAGACTGAAAACAGAAGAAAAAAACACTAAGCACAATTAATATTTTATATCCACATGCTTTGGCAAGAGGAGTTCATCTGCGCTTTCTTGCATGCTTCTGCCTCTGTTTTCTGTTCTTCTTATGATCAGCTCGCCAGTGAAAACCAGGCTTTTTTGACCTTTGTCATGTTGGCCTTGGCTTAAGAATAAGTCTTCCCTTCTGAAAATGCCACAGATAATAAATTATTATAAAAGACAGGTATTAACAAGTAAATATTGAGAATTGTTATCAGCCTTTTTGTAGAAAATAAACTTGATGGGAAGCTAACTTGGTGAAGCAGCTTTTTGGGTTGGCTTATTTTTCACCTGAGATTTTCCTCCATTTAGGAGAATATTATAGAGCTGCTAAATTGGCCTGACCACAGGTTAGATGATTTTTAGGCAATTCCACCACTAAAACTACGTACATTTACCTTTTGAAAAGCACTACAAAAATAATGGCTTCTCCCCATTTACCTGATAAATATATTACATTCCCATATTAAAATAATTGAGAAATTAACCCAGTGTTTGCAATGATTGAATAATAATGTTCCTTTGTGAGTGTAACTGGAAGGTTATTAATTTAATACGTGACAAAATTATGTAAGTAACTCAGGCTTGTATCTGCCCTGCCCGAGATCCTTTCTATTGCTTGCTCAATTTTGGCATACTTGGGAAAAAATGCATGAATCAAGCAAGATCTTTGTTGAGCATATGCAGCATGTTGCTTTAGTACAGCTTCCAACCCAGGCCTACTAGCCGTGCGCTGGAGACAGCGGGCTCAGTTGTGAGCATAGGTTTATCAAGAAATGGATACACACACTGGAAAAACCAGTTTGACAAGAGAAGACAAGATTGACTAGTCCTGAAGTCCAGCCTGAAGCGACTTCAATGGCTTGATATGATTCAGGCAGAGTATTCTTATTTTCCCTCTTTGTTCAAGAAGAAGACAAAAGGAGTCTCTGCTTCCAGGGTGGTTTGCATCAACCTACTGATCATCTAATTTTATTATTATGGCACATTTATTTTGGTGTCTGAACTATCATTGTACTGCATTTTAAGACAAAAAAATACTTACATCATCACAGGACATGTTGTAATCCTCTAAAACAATTCTTGTTCTTGCTAAAATTCTTTGATACGTTAAAGGCAAAACTCTTTATTTTGCTCACTACTAGTACAATATATAATACAAATAATAATATCATTATTATAAAATCTTTTGGGTGACCATAAAATATTCTTACAAGTAAACAAACAAACAAAAAATAACAACAGAGTTGATAATGTACAGTTTGAGATCCAGAAGCAGACCCTTTATCAAAGCAAAGAAGAAACTGCAGGCATTAGTAAAAAATAAACAATCATTTCCTGCTGTCTGCAGTCTTATAGACCATAGAAATGAAGACCTGCTTGTGGTTGCACTGCAAAGTGATTGAAACATGATCTAAGATCAACATGACAGCAACTTATTCCTTGTTTTCATACCAAAATTCCGATGAAAATGGGTTACCTTTTATTCGACCCAAACCCACTTATGTGTTATAAAAAACTTACATTAATATTATTCCATAGATATCAGTATCACTTAAAATTAATCTGATGTTATGCATAAAATAAATATTATTATTATCGGACATTTTGGGATTCTGAAAAGTAAAGGATACATCTGTGGGGCCATAACTCTTCTATGAATTCCGAGCATAAGTAATATGAATAGGATGCAGCAACTTAGTGTAAATAATTTGTGATGGAAAAGGTATTGTAGTAATGATGGATGCTGCAAAAACAAGAGCAAAGGATATGTTACAATAACTGAGCGAATCCTTGTGCGCTGATTCATTGACAGCTATGGTCTATAACAGTATAGAAATGTAACATGTCACGCAGTGCCGGTTCTTTTGTTTTTGGTCGTTCGTAACAAAATAATCATTGTAAAAAACAAATCAACCACAATTTTCTATGGTCTACAGTCTTATAGACCATAGAAATGACACCATAAAAATGTTCAAAACATTCAAACATTTTTATATCATTCTTAAGGCAACCTGGACATAAGCCCACCCATTTATTAGCCTAATCAAAACCCCTTACAAAGTTGTATAAGCTCAGGGCTAGTGACAGGAATTTGATGGTATCTTAACTATCACTTACTTGTTGATTATCTGTTATTAATCCCCAGGCTCCAGCAGCAGTAGCAACAGATGAAATAACAAGGATCGCTGTAAACATAAACACCATCTACTTAGACTAATAATATAATATTAATTTTCACCAGATGGCAATGTTCAGTCCTTCTAATTACCCGGGGGGTACTCTGGATTTCAAGTGACGGGGATGATCGAATGGGGATGAAAATCAAACCCGAGCTTTAAAAATTTCCAGAAGGCATTAAATGATGTATCACAAAAAATAATAATAAAAAAATAGAAAGTGATTGTTTGTGTTTGTTTCTTCATCATACCATCTGAAGTTCTCAAGTGGGCACTAACATGAGTCTCACCAAAACAATACTTGCCAAATTTTCCTACCCCAAAAAATCCTGGATTCAGAAATTTCAAACCCAAAAAATTGTTTAATCATTCTAGCACTTGAAATCCAAAGTAGCCCTCCTGGATCAACTTATCAGCCTGACATTATTGCAGGTGAAAACCATGCTTATGGTCCCTCTATGGTGACATCAAATCAAATCACTGGTTTATTATCCCTTTTCCAGTTGGAAGACTGAATTGTAGGATATCTTACAAGCTGTGATATAAATACTAATACGCAACATTTAATGACAAGATTAATATTTAACACTAACAAAATTTGAGAAACATTCAGTCCTTGTGGCCATGGGCCTGCTAGAACTCCCTGATCTTAGACACACAGTGGTAGATATAGGTACCACTCTGTTGTAGCACAAAATCTTGATGAAACTCAAAGAAAGAGTTTATGCAAAATTTTCAGTTCTAAGCCACCTTTCTTTACCACAGTATGGCAGTGATGTCTTTTGTCTTATCTTCCTTCATGATAATAATTTATTATCAGAAATGAGTTTGAGAGATGAAAACTCACAACTTATCTGGACAACTTTGCTAAAGCCTACTTTTCACTAATGATAAGACTGAAAACAGAAGAAAAAAACGGTAAGCACAATTAATATTTTATATCCACATGCTCTGGTAAGAGGAGTTCATCTGCGCTTTCTTGCATGCTTCTGCCTCTGTTTTCTCTTCTTCTTATGATCAGCTCTCCAGTGAAAACCAGGCTTTTTTGGCCTTTGTCATGTTGGCCTTGGCTTTAGAATAAGCCTTCCCTTCTGAAAATGCCACAGATAATAAATTATTATAAAAGACAGGTGTTAACAAGTCAATATTGAGAATTGTTATCAGCCGTTTTGTGGAAAAAGTAAACTTGATGGGAAGCTAACTTGGTGAAGCAGCTTTTTGGGTTGGCTTATTTTTCACCTGAGATTTTCCTCTGTTTAGGAGAATATTATTGAGCTGCTAAAATTGGCCTGACCACAGGTTAGATGATTTTTCAGCAATTCCACCACTAAAACTACTAGCATTTACCTTTCGAAAAGCACTACGAAAATAATGGCTTCTCCCCATTTACCTCATAAATATATTGCATTCCCATATTAAAATAACTGAGAAATCAACCCAGTGTATGCAATGATAGAATAATGTTATTATAATGTTCCTTCGTGAGTGTAACTGGAAGGTTATTTAATATGTGACAAGTTTATGTATGTAACTCAGGCTTGTATCTGCCCTGCCCGCAGATCCTTTCTTTTGGTTGCTCAATTTTGGCATACTTGGGAAAAAATGCATGAATCAAGCAAGATCTTTGTTGAAATGTGCAGTATGTTGCTTTAGTACAGCTTCCAACCCAGGCCTACTAGCTGTGTGCTGGAGACAGCAGGCTCGGTTATGAGCATTGCTTTATCAAAAAATGGATGCACACACTGGAAAAACCAGTTTCACAAGAGAGGACAAGATTGACTAGTCCTGAAGTCCAGCCTGAAGTGACTTCAAAGGCTTGATGTGATTTAGGCAGAGTATTCTTATTTTCCCTCTTTGATCAAGAAGAAGACAAAAAGAGCCTCTGCTTCCAGGGCAGTTTGCATCAACCTACTGATCATCTAACTTTATTATTATGGCACATTTTTTTTATATTTTGGTGTCTGAACTATCACTGTACCGCATTTTAAGACAAAAAAATACTTACATCATCACAGGACATGTTGTAATCCTCTAAAACAATTCTTGTTCTTGCTAAAATTCTTTGATATGTTAAAGGCAAAACTCTTTATTTTGCTCACTACTAGTACAATTTAGTATATACACACTCAGTGATCTTGGTAATTCAAGCAATCTGATTGGTTAGCTATCTCGGACTATGACATTATATTCACCGCGCTAGGCGGTGAATATAAAGCCGAACAAAATCGCTGTCGTGAACTGGGTGTTTTGCCAAAGTTTCAAAGTAAAACCTTTTTGAAAATACACGAATATCCAAGTGCTGATGACTTTGAAGGCAAGAAAAGACTTCATGGTGTTTAAACAGCGTGATTTATTGTGAAGTGGTTTACTTTAGCTGACTTTTTGTACGCTCGAAGCTATGTTTACCACTACAGAGGAAAACGAGGTCGCTTTGTCACTGTTTTGTGATTTCGGGATTTTCTCGCAAGACCAATTTTGCCTATAAATAGAAGTTAATTTATGGAGAAGAGAGGAAGGCAAATATTTTCGAAAATTGTACGTGCCAGCAAGTTAACAAGGCAAAGAACTTTGGAGATAAACAACGCTCACCTTGATCGCAGCCGCTGTTGACAGCATTTGCAAGAAGCGACGAAGAAAACTTTCTCATTCACGGTGAGTTGACAGAAACAAATAAAGCTCTAGATACTTTTCTCCTCAGAATTGGGTAGTAATTTAAATTTTCGGCGTTTTCTTTTAAACCGTTGATGCTAAAGCTTACAAAACTCGATACAAAAGGATTAAAACTATCATTTGCCATGTTTGAAGATACTGTAAAGATCTAACTTTTGCGCATCCACTGTTTACGGCTTCGTGTTCACGCATGAATTTTCACCCGTCAATCAAACTAATCGTTTTTTAATGGTTTCCTTTCTGATTCTGTTGAGATCACTTCGTGTGAATATACTAAAACAATTATTCACCTCAGGCTCAGTTAATATTGTTGAATAATCCCCTCGACTTCGTCTGCGGGATTATTCAACAATATTAACTTCGCCCTCGGCGAATAATTGTTAAATATAATAAAAATAATAATATCATAATTTTAAGATCTTTTGGGTGGCCATAAAATATTCTTACAAGTAAACAAACAAACAAACAAAAAATAACAACAGACTTGATAATGTACAATTTGAGATCCAGAAGCAGACCCTCTTTATCAAAGCAAAGAAGAAACTGCAGGCATAAGTAACAAATAAACAATCATTTCCTGCTGTCTGCAGTCTTATAGACCATAGAAATGAAGACCTGCTTGTGGTTGCACGGCAAAGTGATTGAAACATGATCTAAGATCAACATGACAGCAACTTATTCCTTGTTTTCATACCTGAATTCCGATGAAAATGGGTTACCTTTTATTCAACCCAAACCCACTTATGTGTTATAAAAAACTTACATTAATATTATTCCATTGATATCAGTATCACTTAAAATTAATCTGATAAAATAAAATTTATGTTATCAGATTAATTTTAAGTGATACTGATATCAATGGAATAATATTAATGTAAGTTTTTTATAACACATAAGTGGGTTTGGGTTGAATAAAATATAATATAATATAATATAATTATTATCGGACATTTTGGGATTCTGAAAAGTAAAGGATACATCTGTGGGGCCATAACTCTTCTATGAATTCCGAGCATAAGTAATATGAATAGGATGCAGCAACTTAGTGTAAATAATTTGTGATGGAAAAGGTATTGTAGTAATGATGGATGCTGCAAAAACAAGAGCAAAGGATATGTTACAATAACTGAGCGAATCCTTGTGCGCTGATTCATTGACAGCTATGGTCTATAACAGTATAGAAATGTAACATGTCACGCAGTGCCGGTTCTTTTGTTTTTGGTCGTTCGTAACAAAATAATCATTGTAAAAAACAAATCAACCACAATTTTCTATGGTCTACAGTCTTATAGACCATAGAAATGACACCATAAAAATGTTCAAAACATTCAAACATTTTTATATCATTCTTAAGGCAACCTGGACATAAGCCCACCCATTTATTAGCCTAATCAAAACCCCTTACAAAGTTGTATAAGCTCAGGGCTAGTGACAGGAATTTGATGGTATCTTAACTATCACTTACTTGTTGATTATCTGTTATTAATCCCCAGGCTCCAGCAGCAGTAGCAACAGATGAAATAACAAGGATCGCTGTAAACATAAACACCATCTACTTAGACTAATAATATAATATTAATTTTCACCAGATGGCAATGTTCAGTCCTTCTAATTACCCGGGGGGTACTCTGGATTTCAAGTGACGGGGATGATCGAATGGGGATGAAAATCAAACCCGAGCTTTAAAAATTTCCAGAAGGCATTAAATGATGTATCACAAAAAATAATAATAAAAAAATAGAAAGTGATTGTTTGTGTTTGTTTCTTCATCATACCATCTGAAGTTCTCAAGTGGGCACTAACATGAGTCTCACCAAAACAATACTTGCCAAATTTTCCTACCCCAAAAAATCCTGGATTCAGAAATTTCAAACCCAAAAAATTGTTTAATCATTCTAGCACTTGAAATCCAAAGTAGCCCTCCTGGATCAACTTATCAGCCTGACATTATTGCAGGTGAAAACCATGCTTATGGTCCCTCTATGGTGACATCAAATCAAATCACTGGTTTATTATCCCTTTTCCAGTTGGAAGACTGAATTGTAGGATATCTTACAAGCTGTGATATAAATACTAATACGCAACATTTAATGACAAGATTAATATTTAACACTAACAAAATTTGAGAAACATTCAGTCCTTGTGGCCATGGGCCTGCTAGAACTCCCTGATCTTAGACACACAGTGGTAGATATAGGTACCACTCTGTTGTGTATTAGTGGGTAATAGGGTATAATGGGTTACCTGGACGAGCCTTATCTATAAATTTAATACACGAGACTGCTCGGCGGTCAGAAAGAGTGGATAATGCAGCTTTGTCAAGTGCTGTTTCATACGAAATAAACATCTATTCACATCATATTCTTACAGAGACAAGACAATAAATTATGCCTAATAAAGTGCTTAACATGAGATGCATGTGACATTTGTACTGCAATGCTAAATACCAAACTGTTGTACATTATTACAGCTTTACATTATAGTTATACAACATAATGCAACAAGAAAAACTAATTAAGCTCATAAATAATGATTAATACATTGTAACTAAGCTCACAAACCAGGCTTAACTACAGGTTTGAAGCTCAAGGTGAACATAACAGGTGTGAGGGATTCTAGCTTTATATTCAGGAAAGCTTATATTCTTTGTTTTAGGCCACAGTATCACAATACTGTTTCTTTCCTTGCGTAAATTTTTCAGCAGAAAATTGCTGCCCTGAAATCAAGACAAAACCGCCGCGATCAATAATTATGCACTCCAAATGCCTACACTGATATGAACACTCACTTCTCCATCTTGCTGTCTGTGGACCTAAACACGACACATACTCCGTCAGCCTCCGCTCAAATGCTTTCAAATCTGCAACGTAGGAACATATAACTAAGATACTGCTTTACGTATTTTCTTTTTCAAAACTCTAAAGAACAGAGGAAAAAGTCGGTAGCTCTCCCACCATCTGTTACTTGCTGGTTCGCCGCCATGATATAACGTCCATTTCTATCACACGACTGTGCATGCGCAACCTCCGCCGGGATTTTGAGCCTGCAGTTTTCAATGCTAGAGGATGTCTTTTTAAGAGCAGGCGCTTTTTCGGGAAGAGAGAATTCAAGATGGTGTCGTATTGGAGGCAAGCCGGGTTAAGGTAGAAAATTACTTCATTATTTCTATAATTTCATAGGGTTTAAGGCATTAGAAAGTTAGCATTATATCTTCTGATCGTTTTATGCTGAGTGCTGTGAGGTAACCACTGACTCTTTCTTTGTGAAACTCTATAAATTGAATGATATTAACTCACGAGCACAGGAAAAAATAACGGATTCCCATTTTTGGATATTTTAGGGTATTTAAAGAATACCCATAAAAATCCCAAATTTGGCAAAGTGAGACAAGTCCCAACCAGGGAATTCCCAACCAAGTTCCCTGATTGGGACTTGTCTCACTCTTCCAAATTTGGGATTTTTGTGGGTATTCTTTAAATTCCCTAAAATATCCAAAAATGGGAATCTGTTATTTTTTCCTGTGGAGTGTTCACCTTAAATATAATTATTTGAAGGTTTTTGCGGCCTAGGCTGCCGTTTATCGTTTATAAGCCAACCTTGCACTCATATTAATTCATGTAGTTTATTAGTCAATCTTGAATCCCGTAATCCATGTAGCCAATAGGTAATGCACCTTTAGTCAATGATATGCCCCCCCCCCCCCCCCCCCCCCNTAAATAATGATTAATACATTGTAACTAAGCTCACAAACCAGGCTTAACTACAGGTTTGAAGCTCAAGGTGAACATAACAGGTGTGAGGGATTCTAGCTTTATATTCAGGAAAGCTTATATTCTTTGTTTTAGGCCACAGTATCACAATACTGTTTCTTTCCTTGCGTAAATTTTTCAGCAGAAAATTGCTGCCCTGAAATCAAGACAAAACCGCCGCGATCAATAATTATGCATTCCAAATGCCTACACTGATATGAACACTCACTTCTCCATCTTGCTGTCTGTGGACCTAAACACGACACATACTCCGTCAGCCTCCGCTCAAATGCTTTCAAATCTGCAACGTAGGAACATATAACTAAGATACTGCTTTACGTATTTTCTTTTTCAAAACTCTAAAGAACAGAGGAAAAAGTCAGTAGCTCCCCCACCATCTGTTACTTGCTGGTTCGCCGCCATGATATAACGTCCATTTCTATCACACGACTGTGCATGCGCAACCTCCGCCGGGATTTTGAGCCTGCAGTTTTCAATGCTAGAGGATGTCTTTTTAAGAGTAGGCGTGTTTTAGGGAAGAGAGAATTCAAGATGGTGTCGTATTGGAGGCAAGCCGGGTTAAGGTAGAAAATTACTTCATTATTTCTATAATTTCATAGGGTTTAAGGCATTAGAAAGTTAGCATTATATCTTCTGATCGTTTTATGCTGAGTGCTGTGAGGTAACCACTGACTCTTTCTTTGTGAAACTCTATAAATTGAATGATATTAACTCACGAGTGTTCACCTTAAATATAGTTATTTGAAGGTTTTTGCGGCCTAGGCTGCCGTTTATCGTTTATAAGCCAACCTTGCACTCATATTAATTCATGTAGTTTATTAGTCAATCTTGAATCCCGTAATCCATGTAGCCAATAGGTAATACACCTTTAGTCAATGATATGCCCCCCCCCCCGCCCCAGTTGGGGTTGGGGGGTTGGGAGGCAGCAATGAGGAGACAACTGGCCGGAAGTGCCATCACCTGCTCTATACTCAACAATTGCACTTTCATAACTTTTAAAAAAACTTTGCATACTCATAAGGAATTCAGGAAGAAGCAAAAAAACCCTCAAAGAAGCAGAAGCTATATATACTGCCTTGTATTCGTAAGCAGTATTCAGAAATCTAGAAATTAGTCAAATTGGGTCATATGTTCCACTTGGTGTTTTCAATTTTCAATTGAGTCATTTCAAAAATGGCCTGGATCAAACTATGATGTAGAAACTTCAAAACATCTGACATCATCCAAACTATCACCAATAGGCTCTTGAGGTTCTGGAGGTTGACTTATCGAACTGACATCTCTAGCTTCACCATCCTTATCCTGCCATTCTCTTTTGCATAAAAACTGAACAACAACTTTTGTTCGCGTTTCATGATGAAACAAGAAAAAAAAGAACAAAGTCAGTAAATGAAGCTTGAACCGATTGGCAAAGTAATGTATGGAGAACATCGAAGTGTACGCTGCAGTTTCTCTCAGAATTTTGTGGAACTCTTCACACAAAAACTACTCCCAAGCACATAGTCAACAGTCATTTTGCCCGCTAATTTCAGGCTAGTAAGCACTCGTCTCGACACCTATTTTTTAAAAATTTTACTTTTATTACTGCCTGCTGCTTTGGAAGTACTTATATATGAGAAAACTTTTTTTGCATCTTTATGACGCCAAGATAATTTCATCTTGCATCAGAATAGAATATTCCAGGTCAATGATACAAAAACGTGGCCTAAATTGAACACTGCATAAGTGATTGTGAATCTTTACAATTGCACAGCCCAACAAGTCTGTTTCTATAGAGAAATACAGTAAATACTGCTAACTCAAGTATCATTTTCTGGGGTGATTTCCCTGTTACTTGTTTGTGTCCTATTCTGAGTGAAGGAGATTCAGGTTTTAGCATTAAATGTGGTTCCAACTCTTGTATTAATACATTGTAACTTTCCACCGTATATTGTTTTTCTCATTCCCACAGCTATTTGAGTTTTTCTTCCATCTGTGCAAGACTTGTGCGGAGGTGTCTGAAACCAGATTTGCGAGTAGAAGCACTTAAGCGTGAAGAATCCCTTATGAAGACTGTCAAATGGGAAGGTGGCAAGCAAGTTGGAGAAGCAAGTGAGTAGCTCATAATGGATTACTCAAGCCATTTATTACTGTGCAAATAACAAAGATTATAAAACCAATTTCTTTTCTTTTTCAGAGTCAATTGCTCAGTGACACTGACACATTCACCTGGATGTTTTTCCTTTCATTTATGACATAATCAAGATCTTTTGTGTGCTGACAGCAGTATTTCCTTGGGCTAATTATTGTTTGGAAGGATTGTGAATAAAGTTTTGCAGTAAAAGTTTAACTTGAGCCTTGCTTAATGACTTTTTGTATCCATATTTTTTTTGAAAAGGAACAATGTCTTTTTCAAATAAGATCCTTTGACCTATGAGAAAATGTCTTTCAATATTGCCATCTACTCTCATATTCATACCTGAACTACAAATCATTAGAGGACCTTGTTGTCCCCAGGGCCAATATCGTGGGAAAGGTACCAAAGCCAAGAATATAGGCATCATTTTTTACCATTGTTACAATATTGTTTTCAGCAGCACATGATCATTCAAACTACAATGTCCTCACTGTAAAGGTCCTAAAAAAAAACTGTCAAGTGCTACTTTCTCTCACTCTGCTCCACTCCAGGCCTTTAAAAGGGACGTTCTTCAACGCGTTAAAGTCTTGCTTGATAGGAGATAGATATTTTAAGAAGTGAGGAGGCGATTTATTCCTTGCTAAAAGTTTTTCACTTCCTACTTTATCGANAGAAGCACTTAAGCGTGAAGAATCCCTTATGAAGACTGTCAAATGGGAAGGTGGCAAGCAAGTTGGAGAAGCAAGTGAGTAGCTCATAATGGATTACTCAAGCCATTTATTACTGTGCAAATAACAAAGATTATAAAACCAATTTCTTTTCTTTTTCAGAGTCAATTGCTCAGTGACACTGACACATTCACCTGGATGTTTTTCCTTTCATTTATGACATAATCAAGATCTTTTGTGTGCTGACAGCAGTATTTCCTTGGGCTAATTATTGTTTGGAAGGATTGTGAATAAAGTTTTGCAGTAAAAGTTTAACTTGAGCCTTGCTTAATGACTTTTTGTATCCATATTTTTTTTGAAAAGGAACAATGTCTTTTTCAAATAAGATCCTTTGACCTATGAGAAAATGTCTTTCAATATTGCCATCTACTCTCATATTCATACCTGAACTACAAATCATTAGAGGACCTTGTTGTCCCCAGGGCCAATATCGTGGGAAAGGTACCAAAGCCAAGAATATAGGCATCATTTTTTACCATTGTTACAATATTGTTTTCAGCAGCACATGATCATTCAAACTACAATGTCCTCACTGTAAAGGTCCTAAAAAAAAACTGTCAAGTGCTACTTTCTCTCACTCTGCTCCACTCCAGGCCTTTAAAAGGGACGTTCTTCAACGCGTTAAAGTCTTGCTTGATAGGAGATAGATATTTTAAGAAGTGAGGAGGCGATTTATTCCTTGCTAAAAGTTTTTCACTTCCTACTTTATCGACTGTTGAGTATTTGAGCCTGGCACTATGACCCCCCCCCCCTCCCCCCCACCATCTGGCATGGACACATGGTGGGATATTTTTCAAATACCACAAAGAGTGCCCCTTTCATGATCAACTGCTCTAAACAGAACAAAAATAGCCATCCATGTGTTCAACTGTGAAGAAGCTTGAGGAAGCAGAGTGTAACAGCACTACAAAACAACAATACTCCAACTTGGTAGTTTAATGTTGCCAACATTCAGCTATGTGAAACTCTTGAAGAGAAACTACGAGTATTAAATCTTACAGTAATCTCTATAAAACTTAAACAGTAAGCTAACTTCATCCAGTAGCTGACTTCTTAAATAATGTATTTTGGTTTTAGTGTTCACTGGCACTTGACTGGTTCTTATTCATCTTTACGGGCTATGTCAACTTAGGTTTAGACCAAAGCATTTAGAAAGCTGCCATATTATTATTGTTTATCGAAAGGAGCAATATGACATTAAGTTAGTCAGGAAGATCTAATTCTTTTGACTTGAAATTTATCTCCTTCTCATGAGGACTGTAAAACTCAGAGATCAAAATCTGCTGATCTCTCTGCTTAGTCAAAGGTCACATGTATGCTGTTTAAGTTATGTTTCGTGCATTCTGTTTAATTTTGAAATGTTGCACGTTCTTTTATTCTCACCAGTCGCCTGTTTAAAGTCGCGCAGCGAGCATTGAGTTTCAGTTGTTGGGCTCATTCATGCTGACTAGTTGTCAACCTGTTTGCAGAATTATAATAAATAATTGTTAACCACAGCTGAGAAGTCTAAAATGATGAACTGTTTTGCCTAATATGGATGCAGTCATAGAAATCAAACTGTGTGTGACTGAAATACAAATCTATACCTTTGCATTTGGCGTCTTGAGTCGATGGTGTCATATAAAGTTAAAGTATTTTAAATATGGATACCAGTATGAAAACTATGGCAATGTCTCTCACACACTTATAAAATTAATAACACCCAAATGTTATTTTGTCCTAAGCTGATTTTCTTCCACTTTGCTTTAGCTGACACCATTAATTAACATCACTTCTTTTGATTACTTTTATCAACCAGCATGTTATTAAAGAGATTCTAGAGGACTCTAAATATAATTTAGATAATTTTTAACACTCTTTGTCTGGCAGGAGGGATGTCCACCCTAACAAAAAGGGAGCATCCATTAAATCTCTTGGCTAACTCCAAGAGCCATGTTCTGGTACACTGTTTCAAGGACTCTTCACATTTTTGTTAAGTGCATTGTCAAAATTAATGGCTCTTACTTGAACTTACAAGTTACCTGAGTAATAGCAATAGAGCAATCAAATTATTAGTGATAATCTTTTATGACCTAGCATCTTAAACATGAACAGTGCATTTATGTTGTGGTTAAATTTTATCCTTGGTTTAATTTTTATTTTCTTTTGTTTTGGGGTAGGGTAAATTGTAAATTGTAGATGTCTTATTATCCATTCCCCTCAGGGCTTTTCAGGGATAATTTACAACACTGGTTGGGGGACTTTGCCAGACTGCTTAAGGTGCAGTTTACAAGTAATGAAGGAATGAGTAATGATGCCCCCATACATGAGTGTGAAAGTGAGATAGACCACTACACTGGGCACCAGCTAATTTATGATAATGAGTTTGTAACAAAAGAAAATAAAAATTATCCATGGGTAAAATTGAACCGCAACACATACATTTACATTTTACATTTGAAGACTTTAAACACTAACAATATATACATCAAACGTTCATAAAGCTGTGATCCTTAGAAGCTCAAGATTTCTTGTCCAGCTGACTCTTATGGAGTGGAACGTGGTTGGTTACTTAACTGATCACTTTCCATTCCATAATTACTAAGACAAAATGCCATGGGTTTTGACTTGTTTGAGAAAGGAAACCCAAAGTACAAGACTTAAGTACAAAAGGAACTTCACGAGATATTCATAATATTCAGCTTCAGAAAGGAAAGAATATTCATCACACATGAAACTTTGTTGATCGGGGGTGAAAATGGTAGGTTACATTTAAATAGATATTGGCTTTTCAGCCGGAAAAATCAAGACCAGTTTTTGCTGAGGGAGTATTTTCTGCATTCAACCTGAAAATGAGATCAGTTCAGACCTCCTTGGCATAAACATGTAAACCACTATCAATATTTAATCAAGTTGTTCTTGCATGCTGCAGACCTCTCCACACGATAGGAAGCCAATCCTCATCTTCTTGTTAGGCAGTTATGCCAAACAATGTGAGTCATTTTCCTTGCAAACCTTGTCATTTTTTTCAACAAAACCCATTCTAGATGTCACGCTTATATAGCAAGAAGTGGTAGTAACACCAATGGCAATACAAAAAAAAATTGTCAAAAAAAACTGATGGCTGATTTTGCAGTCTCCCTGAGTCTCTCTACTGCCTCCTCTGAGATGTTAAAACAGCCCTCAATTCCCAAATGAGTCAAGCAAGGCAGACCTTTAATAACACTCTCAATGCTTGCATCGGTGATTGCATTGCAGCTGGTCAATGTCATATCTGTTAACCCCTTCAAGTAGACAACAGCCTGCTGGATTCCAGCATCTGTAATTGAATTTGAACCTAGATCAAGCTCTTCTAGGTTTGCAAGTGACTCTGCAGCCTTGATCAGACCTCTGTCAGTTATCTTGCACCCCTCAATGCCAAGAGAAACAAGCTTCGGAAGATGTCGGCTCACATAAACAAACCCACGGTCTGTTACTTTGGTCTGGTCCAATGTGAGTTGTCTGAGCTCTTTGAGGTATTTACCAACTTCACACACACCTATAAAGAAGAAGTCATATAAGGTCTGTTTAAAGTGTTAACAGGACCCAAACAGAATGCAATGTGCCAATCCTTGCTCTCAAAGAAGAGCAAGATTTGACACAGTTGATGAAAGTGGGTAATCGAAGAATAGCCTATGAACACTTCTTAAGTTGTTCAAACAGTGAAAATTTATATGCTACAACTGCTTCTAAACTAAATGATAGCCTTGTTAATATTTAATGCAAATTTTCAAATCTCTTAAAACGGAAAGAAAACTAAGGCAAATATCATGAAAATTTGGCCCCTGGTGCCTAACTTTTGCTCCCTGGCAACAAGAAAATAGTAGTTTTTTCATGGAAATCATATGCTGGATTTCACAGATTCAGAGCACTGGGCTCCCTTCAATTCTTCTTAGAGTACAGCCTTGGAAGGGGTGAAAGGAAGAGGTTTATCCATGTAAACTTCTGTCATGGAGATGAGTTATTTATCTAACATGTTCACTGGTTTTACTGTACCTGGGTTGGAGACACGCTTGCAGTAGGACAAATTCAATTGCTGTAGCTGAGTCAAATTGAAAGCAAGAATTGCAACACCTGCATTTGTAACTCCACAACAGTCCATCAAGTCAAGGCTTGTAAGGTTCTTCACAAAATTCGCTATATACTTTACCCCAACATTAGTGAGCTTGGAATGGGATGATAAGATCAAAGACTTCAGATTTCTTAAATATGGAGCCATTCTTCCCATTCCATTGTTACTAATTTCACAGTTACGCAGGTCAAGTGATTTCAGCTGAGTAAGCTTACTGGCAATTGTGGTGACTCCTCTGTCTGCCAGTTTCTGACTGCTTAATGATAATGACTCAAGTTTTTGTAAATGTGAGCCAATCAGGTCAGCAGTGCTGTCGCTAATAGTTTCAACATATCCCACATCAAGCACTTTTAGGTTCGGCAAGCTTTTAATCAAAGTATGCATTGCAGAATCACTGATGCCATCACAAAAGTCAAATGCTAAACAACTGAGCTCCGTAAGCCTTGCAATATCCATGAACATGGCTTCAATGTCCTGAACATTGTCTGCAAAATGCAGCTGATCACCTCCACCAAATGACAAGTGCCTTATTTTTGTCAAGTACTTTGTAACATGTCTAATGCCTTCACTAGTTACAAACGGGCAATCCTTGACATCCAAAAATGTCACTTCTGGGAGGTTTTGAGCTACTAGCTTAACTGCAACATCAGTTATTCCATGGCTCCACTTCAAGTCAAGTGCCGATACCTCCTTGAGATTTTCAGCTACATAACGAACACCAAGCACTGTTACCCAGTCACATCCTCGCAGACTCAGGCGTGACACCTTGGGACAGTTATTTGCCAGTGTCTTCAGGCAAGCATCTGTTAGACCCTCGCACCAAGTCAAATCCAGTACCTCAAGATTATTTAAGTGTTTGATGAAACCCTGAAAGCCAACTTCACTTATATTATCACAGTCCTCTAGGGTGAAACTGGTGAGCTTTTTTAGGTGTGGGCCACAAGCCTCCAAAACACTGTCGGACAACCTTCCACATCGTCTGAAGGAAAGGTGCTGTAGATCCAGTAATTTAGGAATTTCTCTTTTAAGAAACAACTCAGTCACTTGAGGGCAACCTCCTAAGTTGAGATGAGTAATTCCCGGCAAATTGCTGAACAAAATGGACAAGTCTGTTGTGTTCGCCCTTGTACAATTCACTTTCGTTATCCGTCGCCTTTGAAGACTTTTCACCAGTTCTTCCGTACAGTCCAAAGGCAAAACAACCGTCACATCACGCCAAAGAAAAGGCAGATACGAGACTCTGTTCCACAGACGACAAACTTGAGCTGCTGTTTGCTTCTCTGGGACGTCAAGAAAAGAGAAAACAAGAGCAGCGATATCTGCAATAAGAGGTCCTTGATGGTCACAGGAGAAATTCATCTCCACCTTGGCCAATGGTAATCAATGCTTTGTTACTTTCATAACTTTGGAAGAAAATAATATAAAATGTGAACAAACAAAAAATCCTATCTTCTTTTCTATTTTAGCTTTCTTTTTACGTTATTTTTTCTGTTTTTTCAGGCCAAAAATTGGCCGCCCAACTTTCTTATACTGAAAAAATCAAATATGGTTGCTCATATCGAGCGCGCTGTTTTTCGCGGCAAGAGACTGGTGACATTACTTACGAAATGTCACCGAAGCTTTCCGAACGTCTTTCCGAACTCGCCGGCAAAGCTGACATACAACATGGCGGACGAACTGCAGCTGAACGGAGAAACAACGTGCACCAGGAATTCCACATTACCTGAGGAGTTTGTCCCCGCAGAATGCAAATTCAAGATGCATACATTCTCTGAAATGATTCTAGATCAAAAGGTTCATTTTCAAATTCTCAAAATGACGGACAGCTTATATTTCTGGATTGGAAACTCTCTGGAAATGGACTCACTAGCTGTAGCCATGTGTACAAAATTCGTAAGTAGTTTTGAAAACAGCGAAGTTGCATGTAAGGTTGAATATATATGATGACCTCCAGGATCCAGTCAAAATAACAAAAAAACGCGCGAGCCTCATAGTCTGTTTTTACCCCCGCTCAAGGGGACGGTCCACTTTTTATCCTAACCCCCACCCTCCTAAGGATGGCGGGTTTTTCAAAGAAGCTGACAAAATATTTGGAGCCATTGGACAAATTTTTCAAAAGTGCCGACAAAAAATGAAGCTTTCGGATTTCATTTTTCAACGGGTGTTGACAAAATTTTGAGGATTCGGATTTCAAGTCATCTTTAAGGGTGAGTGTGGATAAAAAAGGAGTGTCCCCAATTCCTAAGTTTGACTGCTCATGTGTGCTTGACCTATGCAAAAATATGTTTATACTGTTTTGCAGTCTAGATATGGCGTGAATTTGGGAATCACCTGTTCTTGGGTACATTTCACTAAATCTGCCAGATAAAAATGTCTTTGAATCAGTAAGCTGTTATGTGGGATAGTCTGGGGCCCCAAATTTGTTTCGCATATCCTGGTGTGCTCAGCTAAAGAGCGAGTAGTAGTAAGCGAAAACAAGTCAAGACTCGAACCCTAAGGTTACTTGCTTGCCTGGAAATACCCTCTACCACTATGCCATGTGAGCAAAAAGCGGTATAATCTTCAACATCAAAAATATTATATGGAAGCATTTTTTGGTGGGAAGCTTTGTGGAAAATACTGTCTAAAGCTGGTTGAGCCCTACTGAATATGAATTCAAACATTTTGTTTCAAGAAAATAAGCAAGGATTTGGTGGTTGGTAGAAAGCCAAACTTCAATTCAAAATTTTCTTTGGACAGGACTCAGTCCCATCTGTTGTCAACCTCATGGGGATTAAAGCTGATCTCAGCTCATCGACACTTGCACAGAGGCTTGGTGAGTAGCAAAGGTTGTCATTACTTTTAATCTATTTTGATAGGTCGAAAGTAAGGAAATTACCCTGTGTTGAGTTCTAGCGCTTACTCTATCAATGAGGCAGCGATCTTGGTTTCAGGGGAACTGAGGGAAGAAGCCTCCAGATTTACGTCCACTCTATCTTAATGGACACTTCTATGAGACAGACACCTATGTAAAACGGACACCTAGAGTCGGTCCCTTCCTTTCTCTACTCCCTTTATTTGACTTTCTATAAGAGGGACATCTCTTTAAGATGGACACTTAGAGGTAGTATAGTGTGGTGGGGGTGTTGGGGGGGGAGTTTAATATATTTCTCCTCCCTACCTGCCCCCCATCCCCAATGTTTCTTTCACATGTCTGTAAACCAAGGAGGGAATTAGCATAGAAGAAAAACAGCTTCTGTTATTCTTCATGTTTTGTTTTCCACTTACATCACAAATGTCCAGCGCTGGCCACAGGATCCCTACTTTCCTTTTTCATCCTTAGTTCCACACTTCTCAG